ACCGACTGAGCTACCCAGGCACCCCCTTTCTTACTTTTTAAATCATTAAAATACTTGGTGTCTGAGCAGAACACTGGGGGAGAGAGTTCAGGAGTTCAGCTCCCCCCGCGCCCCCCCCCCCCCCCCCCCCCCCCCGGGATCTGGCTCTGGGTGGACAGTGGGACATTGTTTCTGGAAGGCGAGAGAACCCCCAGTCTCTGTTCTCACTCTGCTTCCACAGTAAATATTTCTGGATTTGCTGTGAGACCGGCATCCACCTGTGCTAATTAATCAGTAAATACTTTGGGAAATGGCCTTTTGCCCGAGAGGCACTTGGGGTAGCTTTTGTTCCTCTTGTGGCTGGGCTGGCCTTGGGAAAGGTTGAAGGTGAGCTCAGCTGGGAAGGGAAAGTGACCTGGGACGGGTGGCCAGTGTTCCCGGTGGCCGCACGGGTGAACTCGATCCCCACCTGCTCTTCCGACGCCAACTCACTCTCTTTGCCAAACTCCTGGGTGAGGCCTTGTGCTTTTGGCACAAACCTGCATTTCCCTTTCCAAAACCTGAGCCCGGTCCTGTTCCCACAGCCCGGCCCTGGAGGCTTCTGCAGCAGAAGGAACGCCCACATTTGTCTTCTGGCCTGGCCCCTGGCGTCCCTGCGATGGTGTGCTGTAGCCGGGTGCTCACCTGACGAGGAGGAGGCAACCTGGCCACCCGTGGAGGTGTGACACTGCCGATCCCGGTCCCTCTGAGCTATCAGCACAGAGCCCAACGTGGGGCTCGAACTCCTGGACCAAGAGATCATGACCTGAGATGTAGTTGAAAGCTCAACTGACTCAGCCACCCAGATGCCCTGAAGAAAGGTTTTTCTCTTTTTGTTTTAAATAGTTTTTTCTTTTTTTTTTTTTAATTTTTTTTTTAATGTTTTATTTATTTCTAGGAGAGAGAGAGAGATAGCGTGAGCAGGGGAGGGTCAGAGAGAGAGGGAGTGACAGAGTCCGAAACAGGCTCCAGGCTCTGAGCTGGCAGTCAGCACAGAGCCCGACACGGGGCCCGAACCCACAAACCGCGAGATCATGACCTAAGCGAAAGTCGGACGCTTAACCGACTAAGCCACCCAGGCGCCCCTTAAATAGTTTTTTCAATGTTTGTTCATTTTTGAGACACAGAGACAGATCACAAGCAGGGGAGCGGCAGAGAGAGAGGGAGACACAGAGTCCGAAGCAGGCTCCAGGCTCTGAGCTGTCAGCACAGAGCCCGACGCAGGGCTTGAACCCATGAATGGTGAGATCATGACCTGAGCTGAAGTCGGAATGACCACCCAGATGCCCTGAAGAAAGGTTTTAAAAAGCATGAATGGCATCATTTCATTTTGGAAAACACGAATGTACCGTAGGGTTAATAGTGGTAGTCACCGGGTGATAGAAAATTTTTCCCCTATTTTTTTCTTATTTTTGTGGATCTATGTCTTCTCATATTTGAAAACTGTTATTTTTTCCAACTCCTACAATGCACAAACACCCCTTTTACTTTATTAAAAGGTTATTTTTAACTTAAAGATGTTGAGTAAAAAAATTGCTACCCTGGAAGGGAACAATCCAGGGGCTGTTTGAACCCGGGCGTTGTGCCGTGGACCCTCGGTCCCACCTCAGAGGCTGGGAAGAACCGACTTCTTTTCTGCTTTTCTTGTACCTGTAGCCAAAACCCCATCCAAGTTCTGCACAGAATCCAGAAAGTGCTGATAATCGCATAGCAAAAAAACAGTTCTTGGAGATGATGAAGTGATTTAAGGAAAAAGAGAGAGAGAGAGAGAGAGAATCCCAGCCTTCTTTCCTCTATCAACCCCGTCCATGCCTGACCCATCTTAACTCATTGTCTGAAAATCCAACTTCACTTTAATAGTGGGTTGGGGGAAAAAAGCAGACTCTGAAGGATACAGTTGTTAAAATGTGGTGTTCTGCCCCGCTTCTCACCTGCAGTGCTCTAGGGAATGACCACCCCTACATAGGACTTGGGGGTGGGGTGCGCTGGGAGCCAGAGAGAGGTGATACGCACCCTGCCGGGATTTGGGAACAGAGAGGTAGAGACAAACCTCAGTTTAATTTGAGCGGAAAGAATGCCCCTGGGGAACCTCCCCGGTTTCTCTTAGCCTTTTTCATTCTTTCAAAAGGACAAGGTCATCCCTGTGCCCTTCCCCCATCTTCAACTTCCCGCAGGAGACCACCTATGTGTGACTGTGGCTCTGCCGTTTTGGGGTGTCTGGAAGTGAGAGGGGGTCCAGGAGGAAGGTGCTCACCCACTGAATGGTACTTACAGTCCAGATGGGGCCACTAATGGGCACCCACACCCACTCCGGGCCCCTAGCCTTCCCGTGTTCCAGGCCCAAGTCTCCTCCCAGCCATTTACTGGGCCTGCTTTGCCTCCGGCCTTCAGCCCAGTCCCTGTTCCTTTTGGACAGATGGGGACAGGCAGAGGCCACCTGGTTTTCCTGAGCTGGACACGGTCCTGTGGGAGTACTTCCCGGCTCCTCTGTTGCTGAAGTCTGAATGCGGTGCTGGTCTGTGCGTAAATGAAGGCTGCCTGGAGGACACCAGGGCCCGCGTGGGGCCGAAGGGCCGTGTCCCCTGCCAGCTTCCCCAAACACCATCCACTTCGGATGACAGGGACCCTGACAAGGACCAAAGCACACCCCATTCCACCTTCCTTTGCCCTCAGGGTTTGTGATCTCTTATGCCAGAAACTAATGCGTCCAGGAAGGGCATTGTTGGGAAAAAAAACATTTATTGTGCAACAGCTATGAGGTTAAAGGCCCTTCCTTCCCAGGATTTTCTCTTTCAGCTCAATCGGGTGGGCTGAGCCCGGCGTCTGCGGGGGTGGACACCCACCCTCGGCTCCGGACCCCTCTTGTGCTCCTTATCCCCCAATTTTGGCGTTTTGGGTGAGTTTCGGCCAAATAGTTTCTCTGTCTTCCCAGCTGGAAGAAGCAAACAAGGGCAGAGGCTGGGGTGGCCTGGTCATGCTCACCGGGGTCCCTGGCAATGTGGCAGCAGGTGCGAACAGGTGTCCACTGTTTTAAGAGACTTGGTTGATGGGTTCTTTGGGGAATTTGCTGGCTTTTTTTGGGGGGGGTGGAGTGACAATTATGCTCTAAAATAAACTGTAGCCTTTAGATGAAAATGAAGGTCAGGACACCTGGGCAGCTCAGTCGGTTGCGTGTCCGACTCTTGGTTTTGGCTCAGGTCGTGATCTGGCAGTTCGTGAGTTCGAGCCCTGCATCAGGCTCTGTGCTGACAACACGGAGCCCGCTTGGGATTCTCTCTCTAGGCGCCTCCCCCACTCTCTCTCAAAAGAGAGAAAACTGTTAAGAAATGAAAGAAAATGAAGGTCAGGAACAGGAACCCTCCTTCTTTGGGTTCCAAATTTTCTGATGGCTGTCCCACTAAGTTCGCTTCCTTTTGGGTGGCTGAAATGATGGACGTTTTATAGTTTGCTGCCCTCTTGTGGTAAAGAAGCAGTAAAAAAGATTTTCATTCTCTCACTTCCTGTCTTGCTCACTGGATAATATGAGAAGCGACAGAGAGAACCATGCTCTGTCTCCGCTGAGGGGATTCCCAGGCTAGTGGAGGGGACTTGCCGTTGCACCCAGGGTCTGGGCTGTACAAGGGGGCTGACAAACCCTTACCTAACTGGGCTGCCTGGCCAAAGAGGTTAAGTTCAGGAGGCTCCCAAGCTGAGCCTCCAGAGTCCCCAGTGGTCTTTGATGACTAGGGTCACTCCCCTTTTTGAATGGTCAGACTGATGGCACAGAATGAGGTGCTTGGCTGGCCTTCCTCCCTACCCCTCTTTCTCCCTTTCATCTCTCTTGCATAGTGATGGTGATCGTCTTCAGTCTCTCCTTTTCCAACCCCTATCGTACTTCTGTTTTGCCTCCTTTCTGGGCTGAATCATGTCCCCTCAAAATTTGTAAGAGGGAGCTCTAAGGCCCAGGACTTGAGCATGTGACCATATAAGGAGGCAGGGCCTCCAAAGAGGCAGTCAAATGAGGCTGTTAGGCCCTCACCTCATCTGACTTGGTGTCCCCATCAGAAGAGGGAAGTTGGCCATGGATGCCCAGGAAGAAAAGACCACAAGAGGACATGGCAAGAAGGCGGCCATCTGCAAGCCAAGGAGAGGCCTCAGGAGGAACTGAGCCTCCGACACCTTGATCTTGCGCTTCCAGAACTGTGGGAGGTGACTTCGTTGCATAAGCCGCTGTGGTGTTTGGCTGATGGCGGCCCAAGCAAACTAATCCGCCCCCTCACAAAATCCTTATTTCTACAGTGCAGTTTTGAGGTTTTCCAGGACATGAACACACCAACCCCCTCGGGGGCCGGCCACAGTTTCTCTTATTTGTCCACAAGATCCTGAAGATAAACACGGAGCAGCATTCCTCTGCTCTCATTCTATCTCTAGAGTGCTCCATCTTATAATTTTTTTTTAATGTTTATCCATTTTTGAGAGAGGGAGAAAGATAGCAGGAAAGGGGGACGGGCAGAGAGAGGGAGACACAGAATCTGAAGCAGGTTCCAGGCTCCGAGCTGTCAGCATAGAGCCTGATGCAGGGCTCGAACTCACCAACTGTGAGATCATGACCTGAGCCGAGGTCGGATGCTTAATCAACTGAGCCCCCAGGCACCCCGCGAGAGCTCCATCTTATAGATGAAAACTTTCCCAGCAGTTAACTTGCCCTGGGTCACCCAGGCAGTAGGGGCCAGTCATGATACAAACTCAGTTCTGTCCCCAAGTGCCACCTCTGAGGCCCTGAGTGGCGGCTGGCCGGCTGGCCGGCCGGCTGGGAAACTCACGGCTGGGGGCTGGAGGCGGGTTGCTGTCTGGCAAACCGCCATTAGCCCTGATGATCCCCACCAGCGGTGGTCAGTCTCTCCCTGACCTGTTGAGAAAAGGCTCCTCTCCCTTGAACACTCCAGTATGCCCAATATGGACATTCTGGTCTTTGTCCACAGTGACTCCTAGCCACACTGTTATTCTTTCAAAATAGACTTTATTAGTGGCACATGGAATTTTAAGTTAGGCAGTTTCTTTCCAGAGAGAAGACCTGATAAGACTAAAAAATCATCACATCAGAAATGCCATTTCCAGTGTAGAGAGATTACTACGAGTAGCCTCCAATGAGGAAATTACTGTCCCCTGACCTCCGCAGCACCCCCCCACCACCCCGTGCCAACCATGTCGCGCACATGCCCACTGGACAGCGCGAGGATACAGGAGACCCCGGTGTAGTCCTGTGGGCCGAGCACCCCGGTTGTGGTCGAGGTGGTGAGCTCGGGAGCCCCGTTACCCAGCACGGGGACCCAGAGGGCCCACAGCCGGCGGAGGCTGGTGGAAAATGCCAGGCAGACTGACTCCCGCGGGGGCCCGAGAGGATCCCCAGGCTGGCAGGCGTGAGACCCTTCACTTCCAGACGGGGGGAAGGGGGGGGGGCTAGAGGTGCCCAGGGGCACTTTTAAAGTATCTGCAAACATGTCTATGTTAGTAAGTCAGAGGAGACCTGAACTTTCTTAGGAAAATCAGTTTATCCCCTTCCAGGGTCTTTTCCCTGACCTCCTTCTGCCTCAAAATGAACTCCACAACATTCTGCGGTTCGCTGACACTTGGCTCATGAACTCCACTGCCTCTGTGTACTTGCAGATACGCCGCTGGGTCCGTGCCTTCCCGTCTTGCCCTTCACTGGGTCCCGTGGAGAGCCTGCAACCACGGGAGTCCCGGGAGCGTCCGTCTGGGGCCCCCCACTCCGCTGGGGGTCTCCCGCTCCCAGACAGTGCTCCCTGCGCGCAGGCGGCTGCAGTCACATCAGGTGATGTCATTTCTGCTTTCTAACCTAGGACGCCGAGGACGATTCAGGAGAAAGGCTCAGGCCTCGGACGTCTTCCTCTGACCTTAACAGGGGCGTTTCTCTGGGCACTTTCGGATCCGCCCCTCAACCAAACACTCAGATACTCGTGGATCAAGGCGACAAAACAGTGACAGACTACAGGAAGTTTCCATTTCTAGATCTAATTGATTAAGCCAAGTCTCCACACCGGGAAGCTGGACTTGCCCTCTAGGCCAGCACCTAGCATCCAATCTTCGCGGCCCTAGGGCAGGTCCACAACAGTGGTCTCGTCAAGGTCAATTCCAGAGTGCAGCTGGCCATCCTTGGCGGCCGCCCAGGGCATCGAGGCGGAGGTCCACTTCACCGCCCAGTCTCCTGCTTTGCTGACCAAGATGAGGCCGCCCAAACCCTTCAGCTTTGCCTTCATGTAACCCAACGACAAGTCGGCAGCCTCTTCCAAAGTCTTTCCTGGAAACAAGGAGAGGCTGTGAAACAACACACTTTTCAATAATAAGGAATCCGATGGGAAAAATCACTGGCGGTATTTAAAATCAAAGCGAGTTCACAAAGATTTTGGCACATGATTTCTTTTCTTTTTCTTTTTTTTTTTAACGTTTATTTGAGAGCGAGCAAGAAAGAAGAGTTGAGTGTGGGAGTATGTGTGCCCGTGCGAGTGGGGGAGGGGTAGAGAGCGAGGGAGAGAGAATTCCCAAGCAGGCTCCATGCTGACAGCACGGAGCTGGATGTGGGGCTCAATCCCACCAACTGTGAGCTCACGACCTGAGCCCAAATCAAGAATTGCATGCCCAACTGACTGAGGCCCCCTGGCGCCCCAAATGATTTCTAGATCAATGCTTCCAAGAAGGGTCCTCACCATCTAAGACCCTCTGTGCACTGAGGCAGAGCCTGGCATCAGCCCAAGCAGACCTGCTTTTCTCCCACACCCGGGTGCAAAGTCTCTTCCCTGCCTGAGATGCCCAACACAGACAATATTCTAAATGCACTTCTTGGTGCACCTGGGGGGCTCAGTCAGTTTAGTGTCTGACTTTGGCTCAGGTCATGATCTCACACTCTTTGAGTTTGAGCCCCACACTGGGCTCTGTGCTGACAGAGCTCAGAGTCCGGAGCCTGCTTCAGATTCTGTGTCTCTCCCTCTCTCTGACCCTCTCCCACTCACACACTCTCTCTCAAAAATAAATGGAAAAAAAAAAAAGCACGTCTTTCCAGATCGTCACAGAAGGTGGGAAGATACCAGAGGAGTTACCAACCTGATAGGAACATCTAGAACAAACAAGAAAGGGTTACATCTACTTTCCTGCCTATTTATAAAGAGCTTCCATTCAGGCATCTTCAGACAGTAAGCCGTTGTTCTGCATACCTTGTTCTACGTGGAAGAGAGTGAGTCTGGCCAGATTCACCTTCAGGATGCTTTCCCCATGCCCCGTCGTTGAAATGGCGCCAATGTCATTGTCAGCATAACCTCCGGATCCTGCTCAAAAAAAGGGACGAGCTGAGTAGCAACAGTGAAGAAAGTCAAACATGTATCGAGTTTGACACTTCATAAATATGAAATCCCAGAAGAGTGCCCACGTGTGAACAAAGATCTGTAGCTGTGACCCTGAGATGCAAAGGTGGACGGGGGATGACCCTGAAATCGGGAACGAAGGGAGCCTTGGGCCTGACCCTTCACGGAACAGCTCCCTGAGGGCATGCACGCAGGCACTCTGCAGCACACACGCAGTCTGCACGGGGTGAGGCACGGACAGCCCCGCCTACCCCCACCCCCACCCGCTTCCAGAATGAGGTGACAGGGCTTCAGTGGCCACACAAACACGGCCATTTGTAACACTGCTGTAGCAGCAGTGGGTTGCTTTCATGCCACTCAGATCTAGTAACTGCCAACGGAAATCCTTAGCTTTTTGTTAATTTGAGCCAGGCCTGGGGAGAGGGTTTGTGTACATAACCCTCTGGGAGGAAATCTGCAGATCCTGAAACTGAGACTTGAGAGAAGGGGCCCTTGGGGGTTCGTGGGGGGGGGGGACTAGAGCCTCCCCCATCTCCCTCTCCCAGTCCTCCCCAAAGCCAGGTGGGTGACAGTGGATGGAAAGGGGCAGGGGCATTGGCGGAGCCCACCTATGCACGGTGTGTCCCCAACCCGGCCGACCATTTTATTCACAATGCCCCCTGTCGAGGTTGCATAGGCCACGTTTCCGTTGCGGTCCAAGGCCACGGCGCCCACGGTTCCCAGGTTTCTGTCAAAAATAGAGAAGTGACAGGATGAGATGAGAAACACTCCTACAGGTAACAACATAGCTTAAGGGCACTTACATTCCCACACTGGATGTTAATGGCAAGTGGGACACACTTTGACCCCAGTGTTCCCGACTCAGGAAATGGCAAAGCAAGCTTGTTTGCTTTTTATTCTGCGGGTTGGGTAGATTACTAGACACTCCTTTAGACCTCTGCTTGGAACACATCTGATCCCAGCACCTCTGACCTCTAGCTGTGTGACTGAGTTGCTAAGTTTTCCGCTCTGGGTCTCATTTTCCCCACCTATAAAATGGGGATAAAACAACTGGGTGCTGGGGCGCCTGGGTGGCTCAGGCAGTTGGGCATCTGACTCTTGATTTTGGCTCAGGGCATTATCCCAGGGTCATGGGGTCGAGCCTGACATGGGGCTCAAATCCATCAATCATGAGATTGTGACCTGAGTATGGAGCCTGCTTAGGATTCTCTCTCACCCGCTGCCCTTCTCCCCTGCTCGCGCGCATGCTCCCTCAAAACAAAACAAACAGAAGGCACATCTCCAACTTTAGTGTGCATAAAATCCCCTTGGGTCCCAGGCCCACACCACAGATCCTGAGTTGTGGGTACAGGCGGGACCGAAGACCCTGCCTTTCTCACAACCTCCCAGGTGAGGCTGATGCCGCCCGTCAAGACCCCACTTTGCCTCTTTCATGGCACTTGCTGTAAAGATAGAATAGATTATTGTTTTCCCTAACATGTTAGTATACGTTTTCAAGTAAAAAGGTTGGAAGAAATTGTACAATAACATCTGTGTACCCACCACCCAGACTCTATAATGAACTTTATCTGAGGCACCTAGTTCAGCAGGAAGCTGAACCGACCGAGCCCCTTCTCCCGTGCAGCTCACATCTGGGGGTGGAGGGTGGCAGAGCAATGCAAATTTGCTTAGTGGAATAACAGTAAAGGCGACGAGTCCAGAAACACAGAGGCCTCGACCCAGGGCCTCTCTGAATGAGGTGAGGGCAACCCGAGCCCATTGCCGGGGAGAACGCTCCTGAAGGCGGAACACAATTGCGAAGCTCACGGAATCTGGCGGGCACTGTGGTTGAAGAACGAAGTGAGGGAGAGTGGGGAGGGGAGTCAGGGGGCAGCCAGCAACCAGACCACGGAGGCTCTGATGGGCGGGATGACCACGCACCCTGGTTACCCAGGACAGTCCTGACGTAGGCCTTTTGACCCTGCTTGTTTCCCTTTCCCTCAAAATCAAGTTCCAATCGGAACACTACATCACATGTTCTCCTATGCACAGGCCGTTGTCAGGGCTTTTATTCGGAGGTGGGAAGACACTGGAGCCCTTGAGCCAAGACTCATCCTGTCTCCAGAGGAGTTAAGCTTTAAAAAAAATATTCTTAGCAGGATGCGCGTCCACCAGGGAAGCTAGAACGAGGAAGACATGGTACCGGGTGTGGGCGGGGATGTGCAGGGCTGGGATGCCCAGTCACTCCTGCCGGAAATGTAAAGTGGTGCCCACGCTCCTTTGGAAAACCACCTGCGGAATCTACTGAAGCTGACTTAGCCAACAGCGCTCCTACATTTCCAGTCTTCTGCCAGATACATGGAGCTGGGTTCACCTAAGCAGGACGCCCAGATGTTTGTAGCAGGACTGTTCGTAGTAACGGAAAACTGAAATGTCCAGCCACGGCGAAGTGAGCGGACATACACTCATGAAACAGAATGAGGGAGGGGGAGTGAGCTGCTGCTGCAAAGGACACATGGACGAATCTGAGAAATGGGACAATGAATAAAGGGGGGGATGAATGGAAGGGCACAATGTGCTGTTTCCTGATCTGGGGGCTGACTGCATGGGTGTGTCCATTCTGTGAAAATTCACTAGGGCTACAGAAGATTTATGCACGTCTGGGGGCTCAGTCGGTTATGCATCTGACTTTGGCTCAGGTCATGATCTCATGGTTCGTGGGTTTGAGCCCTGTACTGGGCTCTGTGCTGACAGCTCGGAGCCTGGAGGCTGCTCCAGATTCTGTCTCCTTCTCTCTCTGCCCTCCCCTGCTCATGCTCTGTCGCTCTCTCTCTCTCAAAAGTGAATGAATAAAGATTAAAAAAAAGCATTCATAAAAAAATTAAAGCGACAAGGTCACTTCTCACGTCAGACAAGGAGAGGCAGTCCCAGTCTTGGCTGGTGGCGGACCCACCCCAACACCTGTAAAGTGTCAAGGCAAGATTACAATACAAACGGAGGCCCATACCGCATGTTTACTTTCTGAAAGTTGTAAATACGTTGTCTCAGAGCGATGCCTGGGCCTTTAAAAATATGGTAAAGCCACGGCTCTAACGTGGCTGAAAGTTGGCAAAAACTGCCCCAAGTGACTTAATTTCATTATTATTGAACCCATCTGGGTTCTCTGTTGATCAGCTTAAAGGCTGGATGATGGGAAAAAGAGACGCGCGCACACATGCACACCACCCCCTGCCCCCCCGGATGTGTGACTGAGTGTTTACTCCACCAGGCTGACTCTCCTGCTCTCACTTCGGGTACGTGCCGTACAAGCTGTGTTCCACTGACCAAATAAGACATCTTCTCGAGTCAGTGTAGTTCTTTGAAGGTTTTTAAGTTAATTTCAATTTGGAGAAGCTTCACTCTGCTGAGGCAGTAGCGGCTGGAAGGATCAACAAAATTCCTAAAGCAATTCCTTAGATTTGGAAACGCCTCCTGATATGAACACTGCCATGCTTACATGCTACAGGGCAGTATGTGGTAAACTGCTGTCAAGGAAGACAGTACGAAGTATTTTAATTGGATCAAACAAATCACAGTTGCTGGCTGTAGTCCTTTTTATCATCTCTCAAGCAGTATCTAGATCCACACAGGATATCTTCGTTGTACCATACAAAAAACTTAAAATACCAGGATGTTGTTTGATTGTGTGCCAATCTCTCTTCAAATGATACTCTGATACATAATAAACAGAAAAACAACCTCTACAGGAACGGATAGGAATCTTCTTCAAGTTATGCAAGTAGTTTTGCTTCCTTCTTTCAGTTTCCTTTTATTTTACTGGGATGTCATTTTTCTTGCAAATTTCACATCCAGTTTGACTTGGGTTCCCTAAACTTCACATTATTTTCAACCCTTTTAGAAGTAAAATAGCCAAAGATTTTTTACAGCTCTTATTAAGCTCATCAATAGAAATGAACAGTTCCTACTAAGTGACTGTAGGTGGCGTTAAGTTCAAAATTAATTTCACTGTCCAAGTCCGTAATTTACTCTTTGAGGATCTTGTGTGGTTTCAATGAACTCTTTTTATCAATGGGGTTCTTGGATTGGACCCTCTACTGTCCCACAATATTAGTGCTGTGGGCACAGCAGGGTCATGCCTCCTAGAAAGAGATTCAAACTGTGAGCCTATGTGTCACATGGGAGGAATACTTCTGGATTCTTGGTCAAGCTTCACATTTATGTATCTTTTATTTACCAACCACATTAACTCCATTATCACAGGTCTGCTTTCGACAGTCTCATAAAAAAATTTTTTTAATGTTATTTATTCTTTAGAGAGAGAGGCAGAGTGTGGGGGGGGAGGGGCAGGGGGAGAGAGGGAGACACAGAATCTGAAGCAGGCTCAAGGCTCCACGCTGTCAGCACACAGCCTGAAACAGGGCTCAAGCTCATGAACCATAAGATCATGATCTGAGCCGAAGCCTGATGCTTAACTGAAAGAGCCATCAAGGCACCCCTCAAAAGTCTTTTTTTTTTTTTTTTTTAAATTTTTTTAAATGTTTTATTTATTTCTAGGAGAGAGAGAGAGACAGCGTGAGCAGGGGAGGGTCAGAGAGAGAGGGAGTCACAGACTGAAACAGGCTCCAGGCTCCAAGCTGGCAGTCAGCACAGAGCCCGACGCGGGGCTCGAACCCACAAACCGCGAGATCATGACCTAAGCGAAAGTCGGACGCTTAACCGACTAAGCCACCCAGGCGCCCCTCAAAAGTCTTTTAAATTAACGCCTAAGATGGAAAGTTTTCCACTTCCTCTCTTAATCCAAAACACCTACTTCAAAAAGCAGGTAGAAAGCCAATGAAACATCCCGACTTTGTTTTTCTTCTCTGGCCAGGAGTGATACATATAATAAATGTTGGCTGCTCGACATGTCTACTGACCATGTTACATTCTAACTGAACCGAGTATTTTGTTAAAAAAATTTTATGTATTTGATTTCATCTCTTATTACTCATTAAGGTAATCTGTCTAAGCTCAGAGCATGGAGCTTACTTTGGATTCTGTGTCCCTCTCTCGCTCTGCCCCTCCCTCGCTCATGCTCTGTCTCTCTGTCTCAAGAATAAAAAACAAAACTAAAAAAATAAGGTCAGTCTGAATTCTCTATCCTACACAGTGATCATATTAGTTTCATTATTTTTTGTGTTAATTACACGTTTGGCGTTTTATCAACTTTTTTTTCTCTTTTTTTAATGTTTTATTTATTTCTGAGAGAGAAAGAGAGAGAGAGAGATAGCATGAGCAGGGGAGGGTCAGAGAGAGAGAGGGAGACACAGAATCTGAAACAGGCTCCAGGCTCTGAGCTAGCTGTTAGCATAGAGCCCAACGCAGGGCTCGAACCCACAAACCGTGAGATCATGACCTGAGCTGAAGTCGGACGCTTAATTGACTGAGCCACCCAGGCGCCCCTATCAATTTTTGAAATAATTTTCCATTGTGTTTTATAAACATGCTGACGGAGTACCATGAAGAGCATCATCAGGCTCGGCAAAATACTGGACGCTCTGTATGATTTGCAAGAGCATCACGTCCACGTTTCATATCGTCTTCTCCTTTTTCCACCACCAGCCACTGCCCTTGCCCCCAGTCCAAGTAACTGATGAGCAGTTAGATCTTCCTTTAGTAAAGAACGTGATGCTGCTGGGATTTCACCTCAACTATTCAAGCTGAGGATGCAAATAGAACACTGCTTATTTTCACTGCTTTGATAGGTTATTAAATCTTCATCAAGCCAAGAAGTTGGAATGTCCTGCTTACGAACTTTTGGTGGGTCGTCCTGGAAGGAGGCCGCTTACTTCATCATTTTGTTTCTTAAAATGCACACGGACTGTGTCTTGGAAGATTGTTTTCCTCCTTTTTTCCTTTCAGCTTTTTGGTTTCCTTTGTGAGTTCCACCTTTGTGTTCTTTTTCTATCAGAATCTTGACTTAACATGCATTTTCAATAATCTGGGGATTAAAAAGACGGAACTGTCTTGAAAGCATACAAAATTAGGGTATATTTTCATCAAAAATGAAAAGCAAGTATAACTGAATCGATATAAATCGAATGCAGATATGCCTTCAAAAAGTTTTTTCCTAAAATATGCCAAGTTATCGATTGATATTAAATATAGATATTAAAGTCAGACATGAATCACTATTAGTGAATATAACATCTGAAAGCAAAATTACTAAAACGTGGAAAATGTTAACATAGTACAAAAATAAAACCATTCCTAATTCTAACACTCAGTGTCCATTTAGTTGCCAACATGAAGGTTCCGTCCAGACCCTCACTGTCCCATGTAGCAGGTGCGAGCTACCTGCACCGCTGGCCGCTGGCAGCGTGGGCAGTGCCCAGGGAGACAGGCCGCAGGAGTAACATATGGGGCAGGTGTTGAAGATTTGGTATGAAAGAAGAATGTAAAACATCTTATATAACTTCTTAAATGGATTACACACTGATTGGCATTTTGGATATGCTGGGTGAAATAATATTAAGTTCGCCGGTTTCTTTTTAGGGTTTTTTTTTTTTTAATGTGGCTACAAATGTAGCTCTTGTCTTTCTACTAGACAGTGCTGGCCTAGACCTACATACACACAAATTTAAGAGTCACGGGAATCACATGCAAGTCTTGTAGACACTGTACTAATTCACGGATCATGAATCTCGTCAGAACGACAGCATAAATCATATTTAAGGAGGCAAGAAAATGGGTATCTGGCACTGCTGGGAAACAATACTTTGTTACTAAGAATTTAGTGGACACATTATTAATGTCTTTTTCTCTTACCTAAAGTCCTTCTGCTGTTCTATTCTTCCCCCACTCTGAAGCAGTGTCCGTTTCTGGTATCAGCACAATGCACAAATCTTTAGATGTAGGTGGCCTTCACTTCCAAGACACAGAGCAAGAGATGCAGAGAAGCATTTCCCTGGGGGCTGAACGGTGTTAATCACAAGAGTGGATGATGAGGGTTAGGGGCCATGCACACCACTGCTGAGTGACAGAGGTGCCCCAGATGACTGCAATAAGCCAACCGTTCTGTGTATTTGTGACACGGGGGTCCTCTAAAGTGCAAACCCTGGGGCAGGGTCTCTCTCGCTTGTATCTAAGGGCAACGCTGGCTGGTGGAGATGTGTGCTATTGCAGAGTTTTTGGAAAACAATGTGGCAACATTTATTAAAACACCCATGAGCCATCGATAAAGGAACCCCATTCCCATGACTCTAGCTTACAGGTGCATGCACCCGCACACTTGGTTGTCAAGAGCTACCAATATATGGTGAATTTTGGAAAACAGATTCTTAAGCTGGGGACACATCAGGATTACCTGGGAAACTTTCTCCTAACACACCTGCCTGGCCTCTTCACTTCAGACCTATCACAGATTAGATACTTTACGGAGGCGGGCCAGACATGCATAGTTTGAAAAAGCTCCCTAGGCAATGTTAAAGTATACCACTGATTAAAAGTAATAAATCTTAAAGAGTATGCAGAGTTAATACGTTATATTCCATTATAAACTGCCAGGCCATATTCGAGTTTTAGTTTTCAATTTTTGCTTTGAATAAGGGGGCTTTTATTCGGGATCCTGAAATCTAATACAGAAAACTATTATTCAGAATATATGGTTAATTCAAGCCTGTAAGTCTGTCCTGATTTCTCTGCAGTACGGCAGAGTGTTTAAGTGACTTCAGAAGGTAGATCACAGAGAACCTGTCTTGTCTGCTTACAATAACGGACTAATCAAGAAGCATCCGGTGGTTAATACATTAACATAAGGCACTGTCCCACTCAGTCGTATTGGAGAAGGAACTCTCGGCCTAATTTGAGTGGTTACTGGCAAGAGTGACACGTGAGGTTAAGTTTAAGAATCCAAAGAGCAGTGTTTCCACTGTGTACTATGAACTATTTTATACAAACATTGAAGCTACCAAGTGATTCTTGACTTATTTAAGAACCATAGATAATCAGACATTTGTCAAACATCCACACTCGAGCAACTCCCCAGACAGTGGGCCACATATGACACTTACTTTTCACAGTCTGACTTGGAAGCACCTTTCTCATGCTTCTCTTTTTCTAGACGTTTTACGTTTCTCTCTGTCACCAGCTGCTCTTTAGGAACTGTGGGGACCCCCATGGCTGCCGCAAATTTTGCTGCCCCTTGGTCAGTCAGAAAGCAATGAGTTGTCTTGAGCCAGAAAGAAATGGAAAATGGTTAGATTTTCAAAATAGTTAAAATCTTTTTGACTGTTCCAATTGTATGGATGTAATTCCTTCTCTCTGGGTACAAAGCCTCCAAAGTGCAAATTCCACTGGCTTGCTTTTCTAAATGCTGAGCAGAGCCTGGTAGCTCGAGATTCTGTATTTTCAAAAAATCCCCAAATGATGGAATATTACTAGGATCTAAAGTTTAAAGAACATCATTCATTTTCATATAACACGTGCCATTTATCAGGTGGTCTGTTCCGTTTGTATGTGTTCTGTCATCTTCATTGAGAGAAGACTGAAGAAAATACAGGAAGACAATATGAAAACAGAGCAATCACTGGTCCAGGGATTACTAGTCAAACTATACTGTCAACAGAGCTGGAGTCTCAGTTTATTTGAGAAATTTAAATAGCATTGCTTCTGTTCTTTTATATGACTTCAGGAGAACAGCCCTCACAAGCACTTCCCTAGAGTAGGAAATTTTAGTCACTGAGGTACTAAAGTACTTAAAAGTCCTATTTTAGTTACTGAAGTATTGCGATAGCAATTTCATGTGAAGAGGATGCTTTAGTCACATACCTTTTCCATAACAAGCCGTGCAAGTTTAATGGGGTTTGCTATCCCCTGGACTGCAGAGACAGCTCCTGCAGACAGGTCTTTTCCATTCATGATACTAGCATCCATTTCCACGTCACCATTTACATTCAAGACAGATCCACAACCTAAAACCAAAGAGAATTTCAAAAGCAAGAATTAAGAACTTAGAAATGGCTTCCAGGTTTCCTCTAAGCTGCCGACTTTAATTATGTTTTATTTTTTTAAATGTTTCATTTATTTTTGAGAGAGAGAGAAAGAGAGAGAGTGCGCGCACAAATGGGGAAGGAACAGAGAGAGAAGGGGACAGAAGATTCGAAGTGGGCTCTGTGCTGACAGCAATGAGTCCGACACATGGCTTGAACTCATGAACCATGAGATCATGACCTGAGCTGAAGTTGGAGGCTCCACTGACAGAGCCACTGAGGCACCCCTAAACTGCCGACTTCAATTCATCTTCTACTCTACCAGAGAAACGTGTCGGAAAACACAAATCTGGCTTGGTGTTCCATGACCTACAAAATAAAAAGGATAACACCCTTCCTGATCTGGCCTCTGATTTCCTTTGCCTGCTTTATCTCCCCTTTTTGGGTATATTTTACTAAAATATTAGGTTTCCCTGAAAGTACCGTAGTTCTCACTACTCTGGGCTCTTGTGTCTTTCTCCAACGTTTTTTTGCCTAGACAATGCCTATAAGTCTAGCTATGCTTAACCTCTTATGCCTGTTTCCTCATCTGTAAAATGGGATAAGAACAAAGCTCAAGAATATTTAAAGGACTGTAAAACTATCCAGTACCTAACAAGGTAAAATTCACAATGTCTGGTATCTAGTAAGAAATTTCCAGGCACACAAGGAAATAAGAAAATATGACCCCTAATGAGGAGGAAAAAGACCCTACTTCATAGTAATGGATCATATGACTTAAATGACAAAGTTAGAAGACAAGGATGTTAACAGAACAGCTATTATAACTATATTCTATATGTACCAGAACATGGAGGAAAACATAAAAAGGACCCAAACAGAACTCTAGAGATGAAAATTTAAAAAGTCTGAAATGAAAAATACTCTGGATGAGATTAACACAAGGTTAGTCACTAGAGCAGAAAATAGTAATGAACATGAAGACACAGCAATAGAAACCATCCAAAATGAAAAATAAGAAAGGATAACAATCCACCAAACAAACAGAGGATCACTGAGCTCAGGGACAATTTCAAACAACCCAACCTATGTATATAATTGGGAGTCTCTAAAAGGAGAGGTGAGACAGAGGGACAACAAAATATTTAAGAAAAAATAGATACAAAAACATCAAATTTGATTAATACTATAAATTCACAAATCTGAGAAGTTCAATAAACTCCAAATAAAAGAAACATGAAGAAAACTAAATGCAGGCACATTATGATCAAACAGCTTGTGCTAATGAGATAATCTTTTTTTTTAAAATAAATTTTGCTCATGTTTACTTATTTTTGAGACGAGACAGAGATAGAGAGAGAGAGACAGTGCAAGCAGGGGAGGGTCACAGAGAGAGGGAGATACAGAATTTGAAGCAGGTTCCAGGCTCTGAGCTGTCAGCACAGAGCCCAACATGGGGTTAGAACTCATGGCCATGAGATCATGATCTGAGCCAAAGTTGGGACATTTAACTGACTGAGCCACCCAGAAGCCCTGAGATAGAAAATCTTAAAAGTAGATAGAGTGAGACACGTTAGGAAGAGACCAAAAGATGAGACTGAGAATACACTTCTTGTTAGAAATGATGCAAGCCAGAAGACAGTGAAGCAACATCTTTAAAATCCTGAAATTAAAAACAATAACAACAAAATACATCCCCCCCCCAAAAAACAACCTGTCAAGTTGGAATTCAATAGCTAGTGAAAGTATCTTTCAAAAACTGAAAACAAATACTTTTTCAGATACACAAAAACTGAAAGAATTCACCCATAGCAGATGTGCAATACAGGAAATGTTAAAGGAAGTCTTTCAGTAAGAAGGAAAAGGATAGTGGACAGCAGTCATGATCCACACCAAGGAATGAAAAGCACTGGAAATGGCTAGTATGTGGATAAGCAGAAATACTTTTCCCTATTATTTTAACAATATCTTTAAAATATAACTATTTAAAGGAAAAATAATAACAATGTCCTGGGCAATTTATAACATACACAGAAGTAAAATATATGACAATAATAGCTACCAGAAGGGAAACAAGTATGCTGTTACATGGTTCCTATGTGTGAAGTATGGTATTACTTGAAGGTAAACTATGACAAATAAGAGATGTATACTATAAACTATAAAATACCCCTTAAAAATTTTTTTTAATGTTTATTTATTTTTGAGACCGGGAGAGACAGAGTGCAAGAAGGGGAGAAGCAGAGAGAGAGGGAGACACAGAATCTGAAACAGGCTCCAGGCTCTGAGCTGTCAGCCCAGAACCTGACACGGGGCTCAAACCCACAAACTGCGAGATCATGACCTGAGCCAAAGTCAGACGCTTAACCGACTGAGCCACCCAGGGGCCTCTAAAATACCCCTTTAAAAAATGTCTAGTTATTAGGCCAACTAAAGAAGTAAGACAGAATCATAAACAAACTCAATCCAAAAGATGACAGAAGAGGAAAAAAGGAATAATGAATGGATTGGACAAATAGAAAACAAATAGCAAGATGACAGACTTATACCTGACCATATCAATAATCACATTAAATGTAAATGGCATAAACAACCCAATAAAATGCATGTATGGTTAAACTGTATAAAGAGGTAAGATACAACTATGTGCTCCTAAAAGAAATCCACTTTAAATATAAAGATACAGGGGCACCTGGGTAGCTCAGTCGGTCAAGTATCCCACTTCGGCTCAGGTCATGATCTCGCGGTTCGTGGGTTTGAGCTCCGCATCAGGCTCTGTGCTGACAGCTAGCTCAGAGCTTGGAGCCTGTCTTTGGATTCTGTAACTCTCTCTCTCTCTGACCCTCCCCTGCTCATGCTGTCTCTATCTCTCTGTCAAAAATAAATAAAAAACATTTAAAATAAAAAAAAAGATACAAATAGGTTAAAAGTAAGAGAATAGAAAGTGTTATACCATGCTAAAATGAATTAAATGAAAGTTTGAGCAGCTAGATTAATATCGGGCAAAGTAGACTTTTGGACAAGGAATGTTAAATAATAATGACATTACATAGTGATGAAGGGATCAGTTCACACAGAAGACAGCAGTCTGTGTACCTAACAATTTCTAAGTATATGAAGCAAAACTGATAGAAGTCAAAGGAGAAATAGCGAAATCTGTAATTACAATTAAAGATTTCCTCATTCCTCTCTCAGTAATCAACAGAAATAGACAGAAAATCAAGGTATAGAAGATCCAAACAACATTATCAACCAACTGACCTCACTGAAATTTATAGAACTTTCCATACAACAACAGCAGAGTACATATTCTTTTTAAATGCAAATGGGATATTTACCAAGACAGACCATATTCTGGGCCCAAAACCAAACCTTACAAAGTTCAAAAGAATGTAAATCACACAATGTATGTCCTCTGATTGTAACGTAATTAAAATTAAAATGAGAGAACTATTTGGAAAATCCATAAATATTTGGAAATTATCACACTTGTAAATAAACCATGGTTCAATGAGGAAGTCACAAGGGAAATTATAACATGTTTTGAACAGAATGAAAATGAAGAGTCATGTGAAAACTTATAGGATGCAATCAAAGCAGGACTTAAAGGAAAATTTAAAGCATTAAATGCTTGTATTAGAAAAGACTGGTCTCAAATTAATGGTCTAAAAAGAATAGTAAGTTATTTCCAAAGTAAGCTGAAGAAGGGAAATAATAGAGATCAATCATTGAAATTCAGAAGAGAAAAAGAGTGAAAGAAAAAACAACTCAAAAATCCACAAAACCCTCCTAAAACCACAAGTTACCATTCTTTGAAAAACAAAAACAAAACAAAACAAAACACACGTGATAAAATCTAACTAGACTGACCAAGAACACAGAAATTCAACTAATCAGGAATGAAAGAGAGGACCTCTCCACAAACCTCACGGACATTAAAAAATAAAGATACATTGTAAATAACTCTTAAGCCTGTAAATTCAACATCTTATTCAAAATAGAAATATCCCTTGAAAAACACAAAAAGCTCAAAGAAGAAACATAACTTGAATAGTCCCACACCTATTAAAGAAACTGATTTCTTAGCTAAAAAGTTTCCATTAACATTAAAACAAAACAAAAAAGCCAAAAGAAATTCCAGGCCCAGATTGCTTCACTAGGAAATTCTACCGAACTTTTACAAAGAAATAATACTGACTTTATACAAACTCTTCATGAAAAACAAAAGAGAGGGGTACTTTCCAAATTCATCATTTGAAGCCAATGTTACCCTCATATCAAAGCCAGATGGACATTAGAAGAAAATAAAACTACTGATCTGTATCTTTCTTGAACATAGATGCAAAATCCTTAAGAAAACACTATCAAATCTAATCCAGCAATAAATAAGATAACACAAAACAACAAAGTGGTGTTAACCCTAGGGATGCAAGCCTGGCTCAAAATTCAAATATCAATCGCTATCCACCGTATCAACAGACAAAAGAAAAACCATACAGTCATCTCAATAATGCAGAAACATGACTTGATAAGCTTCAACATTCATACATGACAGAAAATCTTGGGAACCTAAGAATAAGGAAACCACCTCAACCTGATAAAGGGAATACATAAGATCCTACAACCAACATTATACTTAATGGTGAAAGACAGTGCTTTCCCATTAAAATTGTGCCTAGCATAGGATGTTTGCTCTCACTGCTCCTATTCGACATAATATTGGATGGTCTAGCCAGTGGAATAGGCAAGGAAAATAAATAAAAGGCATAAAGGCTGTAAAAAAATGAAACAAAACTGTCTCTCTTTGTAGATGACCTTTACTGTAAGGTGACTGCAATCAAGACAGTATGGTCTTGGTCGAAGAACAAATAGATCAATGGACCAGGACAGAGAGCCCAGAAACAGACCCACATACGTATACACTAAACTGATCTTTGACAAAGGAGCTGCGACATCACGATTTATAACAAATACATGTTTTGGACTCTGTCCATGGTTCCTGGCTCTCAGCTCCCCAAACCCTTAGAATTTCCTAGGGTTAAGTGCAATGGGAGCATCTTTTATTATAACTTTTGGTCTTTTGTCCTCAGTTCCATAAATCACTTCAGAGTCACAAGGGTGAAATGGATACCTTGTCGCATGACAAGCTGCTTTCACCCATAACTCAGTTTGTGTCAGTGAGGTGACTTTTGGAAGCCCCCTAAAGATGGGAAGGGCTGGAGGGCTGGAACTTTCAGTGTGGCCCCCAATTTCTAGGGAGGGAGAAGGACTAGAGGTTGAATCAGTCACCGGTGGCCAACAATTTAATTAGCCATGCCTATGTAATGGAGCTGGCATGAAAACCCAAAAGGACAGGGTCCAACCACTTTCCAGGTTAGTAGAAAGCTCCTTTGTTGGCCACTTCAGTCTCTGTACCCCTTCATCTTCCTTCTGATTTGTATCTTTTGTAATAAGCTGGGAGTCTAGTGAGTAAACTGGTTTCTTGAGTTCTGTGAGCCTCTCTGGCAAATTAATCGCAACTCAAGGAGTTCGTGGGAACCTCTGATTTAGAGCTAGTAGGTCAGAAGCACAAGTAACAACCTTCAGATGGGTGGCGATTGAAGTGGAGCACAGTTTGGTGGGACTCAGCCCTTACCCTGTAGAATCTGATGTCACCTCTAGGTAGAGAGTGTCAGAAATGAGCTGAATTGTAGGACAGCCAGCTGGTGTAGGAAGGGTGCTTGGTGTGGGAAGACTCACATGCATTGGAATTGGGTTCGGAGTCTTCAGACAAAGGCAATCCAATGGAGCAAAGATAAGTCTTTGAAGAAATAGTCCAGACACCCATATGCAAAAAAGTCGAATCTCGACACAGACCTTACACCCTTCATGAAAATTAACTCAAAATGGATCACAGATCTAACTGTAAAATGTTGAACTATAAAACTCCTAGAAGATAACACAGGAGAAGATCTAGATGACCTTGGGTTTGGCTTTTTAGATACGACACCAAAATCACCATCCATGAAAGAAAGAAATTGTTCAGCTGGACTGCATTAAGACAAAAAATTTCTGCTATGTGACGGGCACTGTCCAGAGAACGAGAAGACAAGCCATTGGCTGGGACAAAGTATTTGTAAAAGCCACATGTGATACAGGCCCATTATCCAAAATGCACAAAGAACTCTTAAAACTCAACAATAAGAAAACAAGCAAGCTGATTAAAAAATCAGACAAGGATCTGAACAGACACCTCACCAAAGAAAATCTACAGATGGCAAGTATGAAAAAGAAATCAATTGTATTTTCATATATTAGCAAGAAATGTTGAGAATTGTAATCTTTAAAAAAATTTATTTTTAAATGTTTATTTATTTTTAGAGAGAGAGACAGAGCATGAGCAGGGGAGGGGTATAGAGAGAGAGACACACACACACAGAATCCGAAACAGGCTCCAGGCTCTGAGCTGTCAGCACAGAGCCCGACGCAGGGCTCGAACTCGGGAACAAAGAGATCATAACCTAGGCCAAAGTCGGATGCTTAACGAACTGAGCCACCTAGGTGCCCCGAGAATTGTAATCTTAAAAAGCAGCATTCACAGGGGCACCTGGGTGGTTCAGTCAGCTGAGCAGCTGAGCAACTGACTCTTAATTTTGGCTCAGGTTGTGATCTCACAGTTCATGAGATCTGCATGGGGCAAAAAAAATCCAGCATTTACAGTAGCACCAAAATACGTGGAATAAGTAGAAATCTAAATCTAACAAAATATTTATAAGATATGCATGCTAAAGACTACAAAACACTGATGAAAGAAATTAAAGTATTAATTTTTATTTTAATTTTTTAAATATTTATTAATTTATTTTGAGAGAGAGAGAGCATGAAAATGGGGGGGGGCAGAGAAAGAGGGAGAGAGAATCCCAAGGAGGGTCCTCACTCTCCATGGCATGGAGCCTGGCTCAGGGCTTGGTCTCACAAGCTGTGAGATCATGACCTGAGCCGAAATCAAGAGTCAGACACTGAACTGGTTGAGCCACTCAGGGGCCCCAGAAATCAAAGATTTAAATAAACGGAAGTTTATGCTGTGGTTTGGAAGTATTGGGTTGAAGGGCTCAGTATTGTTAAGATTTCAATTCGCCCTAAATTGATCGATAGAGTCAATATAGTCCTAATGAAAACCCTAGCAGGATTTTTTTTTTTTTTGGTAGAAATTGACAAGGTGATTCTCAAATCTGTGGGGAAAACAAAGGGACTAGAATAGCCAAAACAATCTCTCTCTCTCACACACACACATACACACACGACTCTTACTACCTGATTTTAAGAATATAAAACTACAGTAATCAAGACAGTGTGGTACTGGTGAAAGGCTACACATACAGACCAATGGGGTCAAGTTCAGAAATAGACCCATACGCATAAAGTCAATGGATTTTTGACAAGGGCCGAAGGGCAATTCCATGGGAAAAAAGTTGATTTTTTAACAACTGGTACTAGAACAATTATGCAGAAACAACCTTGACATATACTCCACAACTTATGCCAAAAAAATATTAAAAATGGATCAGAGACCTAAATATAAAACCTAAAATGACAGAGTTTCTAGAAGACACAAACGAGAAAACATCTGTGACCCTAGGTCAGGTATGACATGACAAGCACACCATTAAAAAATGGGACTTCTTGGGGCGCCTGGGTGGCTTAGTCGGTTGAGCGTCCGACTTTCGCTTAGGTCATGATCTCGCGGTTCGTGGGTTCGAGCCCCGTGTCGGGCTCTGTGCTGACTGCCAGAGCTACCTGGAGCCTATTTCAGAGTCTGTATCTCCCTCTCTCTCTGACCCTCCCCTGCTCACGCTGTCTCTCTCGCTCTCCTAGAAATAAATAAAAATATTAAAAAAAAAAAAAAGGGACTTCTACAGGGGTGCCTGGGCAGCTCAGTTGGTTAAGCATCTGACTTTGGCTCAGGTCATGAGCTCACAGTTCATGAGTTTGAGCCCCCATCAGGCTCTGTGCTGACAGCTCGAAGCCTGGAGCCTGCTTCCGATTCTGTGTCTCCTCTCTCTCTCTGCTCCTCCCCCGCTCATATTGTCCCTCTCAATAATAAACATAAAAAAAATTTTTTTATTAAAAAAAAATGGGACTCTTACAAAATGAAGAACTTTTGTTCTTTAGAAGACACTGTTAAAAGAAAAGAGGAGCCACAGACTGAAAGAAAATATTTGCAACTCAAGTCTCTAATACAAGACCAGCATCTAGAATATATAAAGAACTCTTAAAACCCAATAATAATAATAAACACAATAAAGAAATTGACAAAATGCTTAAAAAGATGTTAAACATCATCTGCCAGAAATTAACACTAGAACAAAGTCCCACCACACCCCTATGAGAACGGCTAAAATAAAAAATAGACAACATCAAATGCCTGTGAGGGTGTGGAGTAACTAGAGCCTTCATACACTGCTGGTGGGAAGGGAAAGTGGGAGTCACTATGGAAAACGGTTTGGCGGTTTCAAATAGTTAAAAATACACTCGCCATATGACCAACTTCAACATTCATCCAAGAGAAATAAAAAGTTACACTCATATAAAAACCCGTATGCAGCTGTTTACAGTGATTTGTAATGGCCCCAAATCTATCACGTCCTTCAGTTGGTAAATGACCTAAACTGTGGTATGTCCAAACAATGGAATACTACACAACAGTAAAAATGGATGGGCCATTCATACTTGTGTCAACAAAGATGGCCCTGTAGCGCATTATGCTAAATGAAGAATCCAGACTCAGAAAGCTACATATTGCATGACTCTACTCTCCTTTTCTTCAAGAATAAGTGGGTGTTCTGTCAGCCAAAGGGTCCCAACTGCTAACTGTATGTAATTTAATAGTCTCCCTCAGAAGCAGACCACTCCCCCTGCTGGCAAGGGATAGCATCCAGTAAATTCTGGCTTAACCAACAGACCCATGACAATGCACTAACGCCTCATTCTATCATCAGGCAGACTTCAGAAATTGTGCATAAGTGTTCAAGAGCCGTTAGCAGAAGCAAGGGGATGGAACAGTGCTCAGTAATTATTTGATGACTCATTGGTTCATATTTCCCCAAATTCTTTTCTCTGACAGACCCTGGGCAGGTGGTATCATCCCCCAAAGTATTTTAATCCCTACATTTTGGGTTCTCTATTTTACTTTTATTTATCTTTTAATGTTTGTTTATTTTGGGGATAGAGAGTCAGAGCACGAGTCGAGGAGGGGCAGAGAGAGAGAGGGGGAGACAGAGAATCTGAAGCAGGCTCCAGGCTCTGAGCTGTCGGCACAGCTGGAATCCACAAACCGTGAGATCATGACCTCAGAGGAAGTCGGACTCTTAACCGACTGAGCCACCCAGGTACCTCTGGCCTTAAAAAACTCTTAAAGCAACTTGGTCAACAAGTAGAAAGAGAAAAATTAAATTTTTTCCAGCATATTAAGTTTTACTGAAAGGCTTATTAGATTCTTTGACGCTTTAGAGTCTATGTATCTGGGGGGGAAGATTAACCTGGTTTGCATCAGATACTAACTGCACTGCAAGTTTACCTGCGTTGAACTCAGGATCATCTTCCAGAAAAGTCACAGCTCCTTCCACAGCGTCAATGGCGCTCCCTCCGTCCTTCAGGATTTTGTAACCCTCAGTGGCAGCTCTGATGATGCCCTGGCGGACCCGCTCTTTCCGGTCCTTTGCGATATTGCTTGCTCCACCACCGTGGACCACGATGACCGGATTCATGTCGACAGATCCTAGGGATCAGGAAGATGAAAGTGCCATTTAGAACAGGCCCAGGAAAACTGCTCTGGAGGTAATCTCCTGGGGGAAATTCCACTGGAAACTACCTCCGGTTTCTACTCCTGGAAGTGGGAGCAAGGTTTACAGCCTCAAGCAATTTCCTGGGGTGGGGACAGGGACCGCTCCCTCTGAACTTTGTACAAAATGTCCAGAGTGCCTCATGGTCTCCCTCCCCGTTTCCCTCCCACCCGCACGTCCGGGCATCTTCAGGCCTTGGAGCGGGGGTTTCAGGACCCCTTCCCCACCGGCTGCCACCAGGCTTCAGTTCTCCCGAGAACCCCAGCCCCTGACCTGTGCTGGGGGGATGGCCTCCAGGGCCAGAGCTCGAGCCCTACTGATGGGCTCTTTCTAGGCTCTTTCTGTTAAGAAAGGATATCTGTTAAGGATATTCTGTTAAGTCCTGGATATCTGAAGGCGGGCACCACACTGTGGGCCATGCAGGGATAGCCCAGGACACGGGGCGGGGCTCTGGGAAAGACACCGGGCTGCCAGGGTCCATCCAGTTTCAAACCAACGTTACTAGAGCAGCCAAATCTTGCCGGATCTCAGAAGCCATCCTGGGCCTGTTAGAGTTTAGGGATGGGAGACTACTGGCAGCCATGATCTCCAGACAGGCCCCAAAGAAAAAGGGTCTGAGGGTAACCACACCTCCAACCTCCTCATCACTATTGCAGTGGGAGGAAACGCTGGCCTGAGAAAAATTCCTCGTAGGGTAAGACAGGCCTGATCCCACAGGTCTGGAGGGCTGCGGACCTAGGGCAGGTGCTCTGGTGTCAACTGCGCATGCACTTGCCAGAGAGACGGAGCATCCAGTCTCCCTGGGACTGTCCCTGGTCCAGGCCGTGTAGGGATACACTGGGCCACAGGCACGGACTTCTGGGGGACACACCGCGCTGCTGAGGTCTAGTCCCTTCCCGCCCCCCCTCCCCCGAAAAAAAAGATGCGCCACATCTCACTGGAATCCCTTAGCCTGGACATTCGTGCAGTATCAACTCGTCGTCCTCCCAACCCCACTCCCACGTCCCGGACCCCTGCTCCGGCAGGGCAGTCGACTTACCGTGGACGCCGCGGGGCCGCGGACGCCGGGGCTTCCGCCTGGGCCGAGACGCCCAGCCGGCTTCCGAACCTGCTCGGTCGAGCGCCTCCGCGAGCCAGTCTGGGAAACCGTTGCGTTCGTAACCGCTCCGCCACAACGGCTCCGCGCTTGCGCAAGAGGGCGGGGCTGGCGCGCCGCTCAGTTACCGTAAAGACTCGACCCGGGGCCGCGGCGCAAGCAGTTCCCAACTGGGCCCGCGTTTCCGCTGCCCGCCGGACCCCAGCAGGCAGGCTCCCGGAGCGAGTACCAAGCTGGCCCTCCGCCCACCCGAGCTTCCTGGTGGGATTCAGGGAACCTTCTCCTCCTCCTCCTGGGGCTGGGGGCGGGGTGCTGGTGGCGCAGTGCGTGAAGTGAGGTGCCAAGGTTTTGTCACTGAAGATTGAAAAGCGGTGCTGCGCGCGGTGAGATCCTTCCTCGGCTCGAGATGTTTCTCAGGCTTGTTAGTCATTCATTTCTATTTAAGTCACTTCTTTTTAATCGTCTTTCTTTTTAACCTTTCGTAAAGAACAGAAAGAAAAGAAACAAAAATTGGTCTGGTTCTGTTTCCAGCGTCTGAAACCCCCAGGGAACTCCCTCCTCTGAGTTTCCAGGAGCCCAGATCTACATTCCTATGCCACCTGTGCCCTCATCTCTTTGTGGTTGTTGACGCATTTTGTCCACCCTGCCCCAGAAAGTTCCGTTACGGCTCTGACCATTCCTTTTACCATTCCCCCCATTCCTATTACCGGAGCGTCCTTCCAATAGAAATTTACATTTTTAAAAACTTTATTTAAATTAAATAACAAAGGGCTGCTATTCTTGTTATTATTATTGTTATTGCTGTTATTATTATTACTAGCATGTTTATTACTCCCTTACCTCCACTTCCCCGGGGAAGAGGAGTGACTAGTTCTGTCTTCCATCATTATAAGTTTCTTAGTGAGGCGTCTGGGTGGCTCAACTCTTGATTTCGGCTCAGGTCATCATCCTGAACTGCATGCTGGCAGTGCTGAGCTTGCTTGGGATTCTCTCTCTCTCTCTCTCTCTCTCTCTCTCTCTCTTCTCTCTCTCCCTCTCTTTCTGCCCCTCCCTGGATTGTTCTCTCTCTCTTTCAAATAAATAAACTAAAAAAAAAAAGATTGAAGAAGAGTGTAGAGGAAATGCCAGCACAGGACAGAGTAGCTTTTTTTTCCAGAGGTGCGTCAAAAGCAATTTGCTACTGTTGAAGATTAAAAATACAAACTTTCAGGCTCCTATTTCTGGCTGGCTCAGTGGGTGAAGCATGTGACTCTTAGTCTTGGGGTCCTGAGTTCAAGGCCCACGTTGGGTGCAGAGCCTATATTTAAAAAAAAAATACAAGCTTTTTTAAAAAAATATCACAGCAGATTCAGTCATGCCTATAGCAAGGTTACTGTCTAACACTCACATTCTGATTCTATGTTCCTCAGAGGAAGAGAAAGAGGTGAGTTGGTCACTAGCTGAAAGGAGCTGCATGAGACTGGGGATAGGTGGATGGGCAGGCACCAGAGGCAAACGCCTGAGGTAAAGGTTTGGCCGGATGCTCTGATTTCTAGAGCTAGAGAAGGCCAGCCCCTGCTCCAGGGTCCCTTTTAATTCAGAGCTTGCTATAGCCAAGGAATCAGCTACTGCTTCTTGTGTTTGGCAGGGACTCAGTGATAGGCAGGGAGAAAACGTCAGGTGTCCACTGACTGGAAATTATTGGTGCCAGAAAGCTGGAGGCGAGCTGACCGGAAGTGGGCATCCTATGAGATTGGTTAGGGGAACATGTTTGGCCTTCTCTGGTTGGTCCTAAGTTTTAAGTGGGGACAGAGACCCGGGAAGGTGGCATTTTTTTGGCCAAGTCCTGACCATATCCATTCCTTCCCCCCTCCCCACCCCGGGTTATAGACCTTGAATCCACAGCCATTGGCATGGACCCGTAAACCCAATCTGTTCAATCATGGTATGCCATTTGATTGGCAACAGTAATTGGCTCAAAAGGTGACTGCGTGATCCAAGCAGGGCCGAACTATATAACTTCTCTAGAACTGAAGTTTGGACCTTAGAAGAAAGAAGTTTTGTCTGCTGCAGTCGCTAAATAGAGAGACTGTCTATTTGAGGCTGCTGGTGGTCATCTTTTCCACCATGTGGAGAGTCTGTTTACCGAGTGAAGCTCGTGTAGTAAAGGGTTGACCTTACCCAAAAAAAGGATGTAGCCTTTGCCCTTTGCTCCTGGGAGAAGCTCTTTAAACCCCTGGCAAGTCCTCCCTGACAAGAGTATCTTTGTTTACCTGGGAGACTCGGGCCTCACCAGGTGGTCTAACAATGTGATGATAAGAAGGAATTGGGGACACAGAGAGGGAGAAGAACATGGGAAGGTGGAAGCAGATGTTGGAGTGATGCATCTACAAGCCAGAAAACCCAAGGATTGTCAGCAGTGTCCAGCAGCTAGGGAGAGGCAAGGGAGGGTCCTGACCTAGAGTCTTCAGGGCGAGCCTGGCCCTTCCAACGTCTCCATTTTGAACTTCTGGCTTCCAGAACTGTGAGGGAATATACCTCGTTTTGTTTTTTTTAAAGTTCCCCAGTGATTGTTATGGAGGGTCTCCTTACAACCCCAACAAGAACCACAGGCTTGGTCTAATTACCACATAAGCTCCAGTTAGACTGTGTCTGTGAGGCATCAATGCAAGTAGTCCCAGCCTCAGTGAGTGTCCGAAGCACACCTAGCCGATAGTGGCACTATCGATATGCTCAGACCATCACAAAGCAGCCAGGGCAGGAAAAGACCTCACTGAGGACATGTTTCAGCCCAGATCTGAAGGAGGTGAGGAAGAGAGTGTGAGGTGTCTGGGAAATGAGAATTCTTGGTGGAAGCACTTTCCAGAGTCCAGTCAGACAGTTCTCTTAGTTTTTCTATACATATGTACAGTTCTCAATGATCCTAGAGATCACATTCCAGAAAATAACACACTTAGGTTCTGTTGACCCACATCTGGTGCAACTATCACGAGACCCGCACAATGAATGTTCACTTTTTAACCTTCCATTCACTCCTCATCCCCATTCAATCTGGCTTCCAGACATATGATGCTGTAACATTTAAGAGTGAAGCAAATATGTAACACCAGCTGTCTTCTATTGAGCCTGACATGGAGATTTGGAAAAATCTGAAAACACTACTCTTCTCATTGAGAAAGAGATATCTGAGTAAAGACCAAAGAGGTGAGAGAAACTGAAGAGAGAGGAAGATAAGCTTTAAGAATTGCTGCACACTGCATTTTCCTATGTGTTAAAAATGCAATTAAAACTAATTCTTTAGGGGTGCCTGGGTGGCTCAGTGGCCATTGGACTAAGCATCTGACTCTTGGTTTTGACTCAGGTCATGATTCACCATTTGTGAGTTCGAGCCCCATGACAGGCTCCTCACTGACAGCGCAGAGCCTGCTTGGAATTCTTTCTTTGCCTTTCTCTCTGCCCCTCCCCTGCTCACTTGGGCACACACACTCTCTCTCAAAATAAATAAACTTAAAATAAAAAGTCAGTTGTTGGGTTGTGTATTTTTGGAAAATACACTGCTCAGAGATAGTACAAAATGGCAATCTATTCCATTTGGTTGCTGAGGTCATTTCTGAGTCTCTGATCTTCTTCCTTTACCTCTGAAATATACATATATATTCAATTCTTTACTTATGTTTAACGATCTCAGTGGATTAAAAAATGGTGGTTTATTATTAGTACAGTTCAGTACAATGCACTTGGCCAGGATGGGGAAGATGCTGTGCGTTCCCACAGGAAAGCAATGAATGAGTACACTGTCTGTGGAGAGTTAAAAAACTTTTTTTTAAATGTTTATTTACTTATTTTAAGGAAGAGAGAGATACAGCATAAGTAGAGGAGGGGCAGAGTGAGGAGAGAGAGAAACCTAGGCAGGCTCCACTCTATCAGCACAGAGCCTGATGTGGAGTTACAACTCACGGAATCATGAGATCATGACCTGAGCTGAGATCAAGAGTTGGGCGCTTAACCGACTGAGCTACCCAGGCCCCCCTGCAAATTAACAAATGACCATGGGGTGCCTAGGTGGCTCAGACGGTTAAGTGTACGACTTTTGATCTTGGCTCAGGGCATGATCTTACAGTTTTGTGAGTTCAAGCTCTGCCTAGGGCTCTTCACTGACACTGCGGAGCCTGCATGGGATTCTCTCTCCCTCCCGCTTCGTCTGTCCCTCTCCCTCTTACATGCATATGCTCTCTCTAAAAATAAATAAATAAACTTAAAAAAATAAAAATGACCATGAAATGTAACAAAACTCAACTGCTTTTAATGATCACCATAAATTAGCTATTGTTTCTAGACAATATCAGAGAACTTGCTCTACTTTGCGGGACATTCTAAATAAGTGTTACATTGACCTAGAGCAGGGTGCTCCCAGTGGCTTCTCCATGACACATCCTGACCACATCCAGTCATTTGGGAGCCCAGACTTCTCCCATTGAGTGGCTCCGGTAGCTCTAGGGGACTTGGGGCTTTACTGGACCTCTTCATTCAATGGCAGACATTCTGGAAAAGTCAAAACTGTGGGGGCATTGAGAAGAGCTGTGGTTCTCAGGGGTTGGGGAGATGAAGGAACAAAAAGGCAGAGCTCAGATGATTTTTTTTTAACAAATAATTTATTGTCAAGTTGGTTTCCATATAACACCCGGTGCTCATCCCCACAAGTCCCTGCTTCATGCCCATCTCCCCCCTCGTCCCCCACACCCATCAGTCCTCAGTTTGTTCTCAGCATTCAAGAGTCTCTCATGGTTTGCCTCTCTCCCTTTCCCCCACCATTTCTCCCCTTTTTCTCCCCCATGGTCCTCC